AGCTCCGTGGCCGGCCACCGCTGGGGACACCCGGGCCCGCCCGGAGCCCCGCGGAGCCCCCCGCCGTCCGTCTGGCGGGCTCGGGGAGCGAGAGTGAGCGCTCTCCCCCCGCCGCCCCCTCCCCCGAGCGGCGAGACAAGATGCTGCCCGGGCTCCAGCGCCTGCTGCAAGGTAGGGAGGGACCTGGGGCGGCCGGAGGGCCGGGGACACCGGGTGGGGCGAGCAGAGCTAGCTAGCCCTCCTCGAGGACGCTGGGGTGGGGCACGCGTGGGGGGAAGGGGCTCTCCGGGAGGAGGGTCACCGAACGCCCGGCCCCACCCCCGCCCCAGCTTAAGGCGTCCGGTTGGCAGCCTGGGGGGTGGGGTGCACGGAGAGCTCGTGATCAAGAGGGGGACACAGGGGGCAGGCGGGTCCGGCCCGGCGTGGGAAGGCGGCTCAGGTTCCGCTGTCCCGGCTCCACCTGCTCCAGGGGACGCAGAGGACTCGGGCCGGCTGGGGAAGCGCCGACTCAGCAACTCCTGGAGGCCGGCGCCTCAGCACTTTCCATCACCTGGGAGGACAGGGGTGTGGGTAGGTGGCCGGCTGGGAAGGGCTGTGGCGGAGCGGAGATGCCAGCCACCCTTCCCAGTAGAACCAATGGAAGGCGCTAGCAAGAGAAGACTTCCCGGGCTGGCGAGGCCGACCAGGGTGTGGGCCAGAGACTGGGGGCGGGACGGGGGAGGGGGGAGAGGGGGAGGAAAGGGGGCACTGGAAGTGGGGGAAGTGATTGGGAAACTGGAGGGAGGAAACTAGGGAGGATAATGAGAACTAAGGTGAAGGAGGTTGGGAGGAGACAGTCAACGAAGGGGGACTGAGGTGAGAAGGGGGGGGCGAGGAGAGGAGATTATGGGAAGGATGCGAATACACTAGGGGCCCGGACTCCCAAGCCAGAGGTAGGGGTGACAGAGAGAATAAGGCCTGGGACCCAGAGGATTGAAACAGAAAAGTGGGAAGATGAGAAATTAGAACAGGGATTGTGGTTGGAGATGGTTGTCTGGACCACAAGGAGACCGGAGGAGAGGAGCCCAGCTAGGGATAGGGACTGGAGGAAGAAAAAGGGACAGGGGGTAGATAGGCTGGAGATTAGGGAAGGGAAGAGGCTTGGAAGGGCTGGGAGACAGGGGCTAGGGGTGGGGGCTGCCCGAGGAGGAGACAAAGAGAAGTGTGCTACCCACTTCCACGTGTGGGAAGCCCTCCCTTTCCATAGCCCTGCCTTCCCCATCCTCCTTCCCCCCACCCCCCGCAGGGAGTGGCTGGTGGGCCAGCTTGGGGGGCTCTCAGCTCAAGATCTTGAGATGCTTTGTGGGATAGAGGGTGAGGCCGAACCACGTGCAGGTAGCAACCTCCCAGGGTGGGCACCCTGGCTGGTTCCATGCTGCCATTTATATCTCTGGGCCCGTCGGATCCTGCCACCGGCAGGCACCACGGTGACTGCTTATTTTGGGGTGTTACATTCTGGCAGAGTGAGAAGCTGTTTGCAGCAGTTCTGAACCTCCTTTGCCGGCGTCAGTGCCTCCCCAGGCCCCTGCGTCACTGGCATCGCCCCCACCTCCATGCCATCCTTGACGCCCACCTCCTCAGCCCCAGCCCCTTCAGCATCTGCCTGGCCAGGTCCTGGCCCTTCCTCAAGCCATATATTGGGCATGGGTCCCCAAGTTCCCCTTTCTAAGGTCAGAGGCCTGGCTCCATCAACACCCTTCCCAGGGACCACTCTTGACCCACCCTCTCCTCATGTGCTGGCACTCCAGCACCTCCCCTGCATGTGGGTCCCGCTGCCTCTTCCTCCGTCCCCTTCCTCCAGTAAGGCTCCTCGGGTGAGAACTTGGCTTCCGGACCTGGTACTTCAGGGTCTGACATGCCAGGGTCCTTGACCATGGTCCCTCGGGGAATGAAGAGTTCTTGGCTCCGGACACCTCAGCCTTCCGGAATCAATACCACGTGCTGTCCTCTCTCTGTTCCCTGCCTGGCCAAATCTTCTGGATGCTGGTCGTGGCTTCTTGACTCCCAGATGCACCACCCCCTAGAACAGCCAATGGTGTCCAGGATAGCCTGGGTCTTTTTCCTGGCATGACCCTGAACAGCCATGCAGACCCAGCATGGTGGCCAGCCCAGCCTTGTGCACCTGTCTATCCTCTCCTCCCCAGCAGCATCTCTCACACTCTGGAGTAGTTTCCAGGGGTGCTAAGGGCCTCCCCAAAGAAAGGCTTGGGGGTTCCTTCTCACAGCCTCAAAGCCCTCCCTTTTGATTTGAGCTCCACCTCCTCATCGCTGAAGACCTGAACCTCCTTTCAGGCGAGGGACCCTCAAGTAGCCTTTACAGGGGGGGACTGCATGATGGCATGTTGTATTCTCTGGATAAAGAGATTAATCTGTAAAATGCACTGCGTGGCACACAGTAGGTGCTTAATAGCAGATGGTTCCCTCCCTTCTCTGCTCTTCACTCCTTCAAGCCAAGCCATCACCAGCTGACTTGAGGGAGAAAAAAAGGATGGGGCAAGCAGTGAGGGTGGTGGGGGCGGCTGCCGGGAGGGCTTCCCCTGCCGGTACACTGGAGAGATGAGATGAGATGAAGCCTTCCGAGAAGGCAGGCTGTCCGGAATCACTCAGAAAGAGCCGGTCCCCTCTCCAGCTAAGGGAGCTACCAGTAAAATGAAGGGTTTGCTTTAAGCGGCCTGCTAAGGGGTCCCTTTGCTGCCTTTACCACCAGTGCTGCTTGTGCCAGCCTCCCTTGGAATTCACCACATGGGGGCCTGGAGTGGAGTTGTGGTCCTTGGAAGAAGGAGGGTCTGGTCTGGCAGGGAGAAATGATGGTGAAGGGATTGAGAAGCAGGGAGGGGTTACTTGAAGGGGTCAAGACACAGAAGGGTACCACCGGGCAGGGTAGGAGGGAAAGTGAGATGAGGGTGCCCAGGAACACTGGAGTGAGCCTGGGGGCCAAGAAACCCAGAGCCCCCCACTTTCCCCTCCTCCTTGCCTCCAGTGAGAGCCGCAGCCTGAATTATGGATGAGGCTCCTTGGGTTACAGCTGCTTTGCGGCGAGGGCCAGAAATGGCAACAGAGTCACCGTTACGCAGCAGCTGCCGTGGCAGGGGGCCCCCACTCAGGGGTCTCTCCTCCATGAACCTGCAAGGAGCACCAGCCCCGGCCAGGGCAGGTGGGCTGAGGGGAGGGGCGTGGTGTGCTGAGGTTAGAGACGGGAGGATGGTCCCAATGGGTGCGAGCAGAGGACAGGGGGTCATGGGAGAGACAGGTTCATGGCAGCCTTACCACACTTCACCCTCTCGACTAGAAGGACCAGGAACCAGGGGACTGGCCCCAATTCCGGGGCCCTTTGTTCCTGTCTGGGGAGCTCCAGCAGCCCTAGGGGCTGGGGAAGAGCTCCCCCATAATCCTCCAGAGAGAGGGCTGTGGGCAGCTGGGAGCACACTTCTGTGAGCTGTGGATAAGGGCAGGATTAAGGGATCAGAGGAGGATTTGTCTTCCTCTGGTGTCAAGTCCTTGGGGAAGCGGAGCTGAGAGGGTGACTTGGACAGGAAGAGAAGTGCCCTGGCAGGGTGTCAAGAGCCTGCTTTCTGGCCCTTGTCCTGCCAACACTTTGCTGTGTGACCTTGGACAAGTTGCTTACCCTCTCTGGGCTCCAGCCCTCACCCTTAGTAGACCAGGAGGTTGAACCAGATGAACGCAGTGGGCCTTTTCAGTTCTCGTATTTCGAAGGCCATGACCTCAAGCATCATGAAACTCACTCACCTGGGGGTCCCCCACCAGGCTCTCTCACTCCCACCCCTGCCTGGTTCAGATGAGGGGTGAGAGACGTGCTCCTCTACCCCACGTGGCTTCAAAAAACTCTGGGGCGGAGAAAGTAATCGTGAAACGCCACACGGGGGAGGGGTGAGAAGGGCCGAGAAACGCGGAGGTGGTGTGAACTGAACGAATGGAACAGCAGCCGCTGTGTCACCGAATATTACATCACACCCAGCCTACACACACACGCGGCCCAGCACTCACACACGCTCGCACACTTCCACACTCGCACGCATGCGCGCAGGGGGCGCACGCCCAGCGAGGAGGAGGCACGCCTCACCAGTGGCTTGGGGTAACCGGCTCTGCGCGGTGCGTCCCACGGGAGCAGCCACCCCAGCATCTGTGGTGTCCCCGCCACACCTGGCCGGAAAGCTCTGCAGGTAGACAGCACCTGGCTCACAGCGTCCCCCGAAATCACATACACATACGCACCCGTTCACACGCACAACCCCAGCAGCATGAGACAGTCACACAGCGCGCGCAACACACATTCAGAGGTGCCATTTGGAGCTCCACTGAATTCACACTTTAAAAACACCCCCTCCTGGGTCTCATCAGGGCCTCTAATCAGGGAGCCCCACAACCCTTGGGACCCAGGACCTGATGCCCTCCAGCTGTCCACGCAGGCCTAGCAAGGTGCTCTACTTTAAGCAGAAGGTGCTCCGCAGGTGTGAATGCCTGGCTGGCAGTGGGGGTGGAGTCTGGTGGCCAGAAGAATATCCTAGGATTCCACTGGAAACTACTAGATAGGGGCCAAGTGAGGTTGTGATCCAGAACTTACCAGAAGTGGTCAGGTCAGGGGAACGGGCCAAGTGGGGGCCCTGTTCAAGACCTCTGGGGCTGGGTTGAAGCTCTTTAGCCTTCAAGCCCTTTGCCCTCCTGGGCCTACCACCTGTATCCTAAGAGGCAACCTTCAGATGTTGCTGGGGAAGAATACGCTTGTGCCTTTGTATAAAAAGAGCCTAGTTTGTAAAAGACAAAGTTCCAGGGCTCACCCAGGAATAGAGCATTGGGCTAGGCAGCAGCATTCTCTAGGAAGAGGACCCAGTGGTGGCCAGTGGCTGGGAGCCCCGGTTAGAGAACCACTAGTACTCCGCAGGAGCTCTGCTGGCTCAGTCCTAAGGAACTGCACTGCCGCGGTTCGAATCCACCAGCTGCTCCAAGGGAGAAAGATAGGCAGTGCCCTCCCAGGTTTTTTAATGCCTCTGAATGAGGGTCTGCTGTGGGTCAATTCCAACTTGATGGTGCTCACAACAAGCACACCACACTCCCCCAGTCCCTGGGGACCCTCCTCATACAGGGAGAAGTGCCAGGAATGGAAGGAAGGAGAACTTGGGGGGACAGAGGAGGCTGGTCCCCAGGGTGACCAGAGGGCCACTTCGCTGGACTTTACTTAGATTCGCAAAGGCCCCTTTCATTTCAGTGGATCCCTTCCCCGCCCCCCCATCTTATTCCGACGTCACTCTACACCCAACACGGGTCGGCCCCCAACAACAAAGACTTGCCCAGCCCAACTCCACAGCGAGTTTGAGCAGTCCTGGATGCGGCCAAGGTCAAGCACAAAGCTGTGGAAACAAGATGGAAGGCAGCCCATCGCTGTCAGACAACTTTAAACACATCACAGCGCCTTTTATAACGTCCTCTTGGGATGTCGCTATTTTTTCTACATATCAAACCAAAACCAGCTCGACTCCGTGTTCTTGAGTCTGTTCCAACTCATGACCACCCGCCCATCCGACTTCAGAGGCTCTGAATCTTTACAGGAAAAGAATGCCTCCTCTTGCCCACAGGGTGGCTGGTAGATTTGAACCCCCAACCTTTTGGTCTGTACCTGAACACATATACAGGCACCAGAGCTCAAAGAGTAGAAGTAGTCAGGGTCTCCGGACTCTGAGGTTGCAGCCAGAACATACCTAGCGCCAGGCCGCCAGCCTTTAATGAGGGGGCGGGTCCCGGTGGTGGTCGGGGACCCCCGCACTGGCAGCCCACCCAGCAAAGCCCCCCTCCTCTCCCCACAGGTCCCACCTCCGCCTGCCTCCTGCTGATGCTCCTGGCCCTGCCCCCTGCAGCTCCCAGCTGCCCTATGCTCTGTACCTGCTACTCCTCCCCGCCCACCGTCAGCTGCCAGGCCAACAACTTCTCGTCCGTGCCGCTGTCCCTGCCGCCCAGCACTCAGCGACTCTTCCTGCAGAACAACCTCATCCGCACGCTGCGGCCCGGCACCTTCGGGCCCAACCTGCTCACCCTGTGGCTCTTCTCCAACAACCTCTCCACCATCTACCCGGGCACCTTCCGCCACCTGCAGGCGCTGGAGGAGCTGGACCTCGGCGACAACCGGCACCTGCGCTCGCTGGAGCCCGACACCTTCCAGGGCCTGGAGCGGCTGCAGTCGCTGCACCTGTACCGCTGCCAGCTTAGCAGCCTGCCCGGCACCATCTTCCGCGGCCTGGTCAGCCTGCAGTACCTCTACCTCCAGGAGAACAGCCTGCTCCACCTCCAGGTGAGCCTGCCTCCGCCCCTCACCTCGCTGTCCTGGCTCTGGGCTCCTCCGTCTCCCTCCGTTTCTCCCACTACCTGCGCGGCCTCAGCAGCCCCTTCTATTTCTCCCCTTTTCTAAGTCCGTCTCTCACTTTCTTTGTCTTTTCTGTTTTCCTCGGCCTGTCCCGTTTGGGCCCTTCGTAACCTATCTCAGTAGTTAACCTAGCCAGAGGCGCCTCGGAAGAGAGGCCTGGCGGTCTGCACTTGTATAAATGGTTGTTCGCTGCTGTTGGGTCCCTTCTGACGCTTGCAGTCCCAAGTATACAGAGTAGACGTGCTCCTTAGGGCTTTTCTGAGAGGCCAGGCCTCTCTTCTGCTAACTTTCTAGCTAGTAGTTTTGGGGGCTGAATCATGTGTGTTACCCAGAGAGCAGCTACTGAAAACCGTAGCAAAGTTCTACTCGCTACTCTGGTAACACGAGAGTTGCCATGATCTGATCAACGAGACATAATGTTTTGGTTCCGGATCTGCCTCTCTCCCTCTTGTTAATTCTCCCAACCCCTCACCTGTGTCCATCCGTCTGTCTATCCCATTTTGGTCTCTCTCTGCCTTTCTCACTAACGTGCCTCCCCCATCTGTCTTCTTCTGCCTCTTCTGTCTGTCTCCCTTCACACCCCCACTCCACACACACCCCCGTGTCTGTCTGGGTGTATGTATGTGTCTCTTTCGGTGATCTCTCCTCCCCGCCCTGGTTTGCCTTCGGGGGACTCTCTGCCTTTCCACAGGCGCCCAAAGGCCTATGGCGGCTTTCTCACCCACCCCCAGGCTTCCCACAGCCCGGGGAAGTGGAGCTGGAGGGCGGAAGCATGAGTACTGGTGTAGAAGGTACCACCTCTCACCAGCAGCAGCAGCCTGGGTGATGGGACAGAAGGAAACCTCACCTTTCTAGAGTCTTGTCCCTCAAACCTGCCAGCGCACTGCCAGGGGGGAGAAGGGGAAAATAGGGCAAAGATAAAAAAATAAACCACTGGAAAATGGGTGGCCTTGAAAACAGAAGGAGTAACAGTAATTGTTGTTCATTGTTATTATTATTGATCTAATTATTGTTTGTTGTTGTTGTTGTTAGGGTGACTGTTTGACAGGTAGATCCTCCCTCCATTTCCCCAGGAAGCAGGAACACACCCTCCCCACCACCACTCAGGGAGAAAAACCCTCCTTGGCGGCACAGCCTCTAGCCCGGAACAGGTGGGGCTGCCCAGATTTGCCCTCGCTTCCCTCCTGGGTTCATGCCTGACAGTCACATCTGCGGGTCTCCAAAGCAGACCAGCACTGACGGTGGTGCCGGTAGCAACAGCAGCTGTAGCAATCTAACAGACACAACATGGAGCACCTACTGTGTGTTCGGTGCTAAGAATCCGGTGGATAAAATGCTGCTTCATAGAAAAACCACCACAGCCTGGAGGCTGCTGAGGCTCTGGGTGACACAAATTGTTTGTGCTTACCTACTAACTGAAAGGTTAATGGATCGAACCCACCGCGGTGGGGGTGCAGAAGAAAGGCCTGGTGCTCTGCTTCTGTAAAGACCACCGCTAGGAAACAGAGTAGCTGTGCCCTACAGCACAGACGGGCTCGAGGGGCTAGGCTCAGCTCTGTGGCACTGGGTTGGGAGAGACAGACAAGAGGTAAAATGCATAGTGTCGTTATTGTTGTGTGCCATCAAGTCGGAACCAACTCATAGCTGACCGTCCAGTAGGTGTTCAGAGGCTGTAAATCGCATCTTTCTCCTACAGAGCAGCTGGTGGGTTCAAACCATGTGCCTTTGGGTTGGCAGTGCAGCTCCTTACCCCTCAGCTACCAGAGCTCCCCAAAATGCATAGTAGGTCTGAAAAACATACCAGGAGTCATTATTATTGCGTACATAGTAATAATAGCAGTCACTGCCACTTTGTGGACACACTTTATATGGCATGCATCACGCTGAGCGTTCGACAGGTGTCAGCTCTGCCATTTACAAGCCTGTATAACATGCTTTGTATAATATACTTTGAACATGTTGTGAGGAGAGACCTGTCCTTGGAGAAGGACATCATGCTTGGGAGGGTGGAGGGACAGCACAGGAGGGGAAGACCCTCTATGAGGTGGATTGATTCAGTGACTGGGATAGTTGGGATGAGAGTGTCAGAGACAGTGCGATTGGCACAGGACAGAGCAGAGTTTAGGGCTGTTGTACATAGGGTCGCGATGAGTTGCAAGTGACTCGACGGCACATAACAACAACATAACATGTTTTAACCTCCCTGGCCTCAGTTTTGTTGTCTGTAAAATGGGGGCGAGAGGGTGCCCACAGAAACTATCTCCTAGGGATCTTGTAAAGATTAAATGCATGAATAATTTGTAAAGCACTTAGAATAGTGCTTGGCATACGGTTTGGCACTATGTAAATGCTTGTTAAAAGGCTATTTTGGAAAAACAAACAGAGGTGACATTCAACCGGCTGCTGGCCAGCCACGGTCCACTTTGTCCAGAACCTGGTGCAGAAGGCTCCAGCGAGGGTAAACTCGGCTGTGACTTACTCGAAACCTCGAGTGGCCACAGGCTGGCACTATGCCAAGGTGGAGTTGGCTCTCCCACCCCTGCCAAGATCCCTTCAGCTATTCAGAGGCTGAAGAAAGACAGAGCGCTCGGGCTGGTCGCTGCACGCAGCTCACTGTTAAGGACACTCTGTTGAATGGCTTGGCTGCTGCCGCCGAGGTATACCTGTGGGTTTTCCTCAACGAGATCACAGGCGAGTGTGTTCAAAGTCTTTTGAGCTCTGATTTGATCTGGTTTACTACGTGAGTGTTCCTGGGCCACGGGAACAGAATAAAACAGGTAATCTATGAAACCAGCAAACCTCCTACAGCATTGGTGGGAGAGGCCTGAGAACAGGCTTTTCCGTGAAGTGGGTCCTCTGAGGAAATTGGGTCAACTTGGACGCTTATCCTGAGGCCATGGGTGGGTCCCTGGAGCCCTGCAGTTTGCAAAGTGTACTTGTACGCCTGCCTCATCCCCTCTCCACAGCTCACTCAGGAGATGAGTCCTGGGTGGAGTGAGAGGTTTGCAGAAGGTTAGTGCGCTCCCCGTTCACCAAAGGGGTGGAAATTTGAGTCCACCCAGGAGCACCTTAAAAGCACTGGTGATTGGCTTCCTAAAAGCCAGTCACAGAAAAACTCCCACCCCTGTCACAGAGCAAGGTTCTACCCAGACATTAGGGTTTTGCCACGCCTCGGAACTGGCTCAGCGGCGACTAGGTTTTGCGTCAGGAGACTGTTTTCATTTTTCTTACTGATGGGAAAACTGAAGCTAAGATCCCAAAGAACTTGCAAAGCTAGAACAACCAGAAAACGTCCCCAAAACTCACTGCTGTCACATTGATTGAGACTCACGATGACCCTCTGTTGAGTTTCTGAGGCTGTAAATCTTTAAAGAGGGTAGACTGCCTTTGAAGCGGGTAGTGGGTTTGAACCACTGACGTTTCGGTGAGCAGTCCAACAACCAACTCGTTAACACCATCAAGGCTCCTTTTAGGGAACTATTGAAAAGAAAAACCTCATTGCCATCAAGCGGGAGCTGACTGCTGGCTGACCCTCCTGCAGATATGCTGAGGTGGTAAAATGTGGGAGATGACCCGTCTTTCTCCCAACGAGCCCCCGGGGGCTTTAAATCTGCAGAGAGACTTGCTGTGGACGAGGCCACCGGGCTCTTTATGTAGAGTTGTAGAAGGTTCTAGGGGAGCTCTGGCAGCTTAGAGGTCAGGAATTGCTCTGCCATAGCAAAGGTGCATGGTTTGAATCCAGTAGCTGCTCCACGGGAGAAAGAGAGGTAAGCGGCTCTCGTGCAGTTTCCTGCCTCTGAAAACCTGCTAACGGTCAGCTATGGGTCGGTTCTGACTCAGCAATACGCAATAAGCATAACAACAGCTTTGAGCCCCCTAAACCCTGTCCGCGTGACGGGGGCTTGCGTGTTCTCACCAGCACACTGGGCCTCACGGTAGCCTGACTGTGGCTATGGGTTCAAGGCCTGCCCCACCCACCCAGCCGCACAGTCAGACTGCACTTGGGGTATTTGCGCCAGCCTGTATTTGCACTAACCCTGTGAGGAGCTCTGCACAGCAGGCTGGTTTTTAAGTGCATCCACTCTGGAGTCAGCCAGGCCTAGGGTTACAGTCTGGCTCCTGTACAACTTGGGAACAGTAACTTAACCTCCTTCCCTCGCCTCACCTATACAGTGGCAATGGAAAAAGTACTTACTGCTTATCTGAGAGGTCCTGTGTGCATCAGAGTGGAAGGCACTTAGCACACTGAAAGGATGCAGGGCCAGGCTCTGCCTGAGGTACCTCAGAGAAAAGGCCTGGCGATCCCTTTTCAAAAAATTAGCTGCTGAAAACCCTTGAGAACAGAGTTCTGTTGTGACACACCTCAGATCACTACGGGTTAGAGTCAAACGCACAGAAACTCATATTCGGATATCGTGAACAGTCCTAGTACTGAGAGTTTGACAGTGAATAAGAATGACAGAAGAAAATCGACGCCTTTGAACTGCGGTGCTGCAGGAGAGTCCCAGATCCCATAAATATCCCATAAACTACCAAGAGAACAAACAGGTGTGTCTTGGAGGTGAAGTCAGCGCTCTTTAGAGGCAAGGATGGCCAAGTTTCATCTCGTGTACTGTGGGCATGTTGCTAGGAGAGGTTAGCTTGGAGAAAGTCAGCACGCTTGCAGAGGTGGACACCATCAGTGAAAGAGAGGAAACCCCTCAACCAGGTGGATTGACGCAGTGACTGCAGCAGTGGGATTGTGTGTGTCAGAGATTGTGAGGACGGCACAGGACAGGACAGGGCTCAGATCTGTTGTCCAAGGAGTCACAATGAGTCATGCTTGACTCGATGGCCCTTAACAACTAGTACCTCTGCTGTTGTGGTTGTGCGTTATTAAGTCAGAACCAGCTCCTGACTCCACTGACTCTCAGTGGGGTTCAGACGCA